TGTCCCAACATTCATCCTTTTTTTACGTCATCATTTCCCAGCCTGATGAGGACGACCATGTCCTGAAGCTTCAGTTCAGCTGGAAAGGTTTAGTCAAACCAATCGGCAGCTCCTTCATCGGCGTCAGTCCAGAGTTTGAGGTCGCTCTGTACACCATCGTCTTCCTGATGTCCACTGCAAAGACCACGTCTGTGTTGGTGGAGGTGAACGCATACGTGCTGGAGCTGGTCGTCTATCGTCACGGCAGATCCATCGGCTCGTCTTACCCTAAACTGGTCAGTGGTAGAGATGAATGAATTTTAGATCTTTTTTTTTTCTAAAGTGCCAGAAAAAGAAATGCTACCTATGCTTTGCAAATTTTCTTGAAAACAATTCCATGTATTCTTATCCAGCCAATATGTAATAGCATATAAATTAATGTATATTAAATATTTTGTAACACGCTGTTGGTGTGTGTTTTTTAAGTCTTATAATTTAACATAAAGAGCAGGAGAACCTCCTTTAAGGCCATGTAATCCAATGTAAGATGTTTGCGGGGTTTCTGCACCTCAGTTTTAACTGACAGGTAAAACCTCACAGGCAGCTCTGCGCAGAAAGTAAATTGCTGTTTTCAGTTTCCTGTTTCAATACAAAAAATTTAAAAATCATTTAAACTAATTATTTTAAACTGAAAAATAAATCAAGCTGTCAGTTACAATTACACCTGCAGTGATTGCTACTACAAACAACAGCGTTTTAGGTCACCCAGTACGAAGATGGACTACATTCTGAGTAGATATTTGAATAAAAAAATCGAGAAATGTCAGCTGGGAATCATTGCTCTTCTCCATCCAGTTCTACTTTCTACTACAAAACACCCCACATTATCCCATTGTAGTCTATTAAAGTCCATATCTTGACTCAACGATACACCACTGTTACCGAGTACACTGTAGTTCCTGCAAGTCTGAGCAGAGGGCCATACATATTCTATAACTGAAACAAACCTGGCCACGCCCTCGTTATGCGCACGCGCAATCAAACAGCCATGACGCCTCCTGTCAAACCAAAACCACAGAAAAAAGACAGTTGTTTTCGAAAAAGTGTTCTCCTTTGAAGTGTGGAGCACGACAGGTAACACACACACACGACTCAGTACAGGCACACGTCGTTTCTGAAGGACATCCTCCACTTCCGGTTAGGAAATTAACTTTTTTGACTGAGAAGAGTCATGGCATGCTAAAGGCTAACAGCTCGGCTAACTGTCAGTTACCAGCTCGTCTGTGTGTTTTTAAAGGCACCTGACAGTCGTTCACATGATTTTTAACTACACACACAAGCTCTCGCTGACATTAGGAAACCCGAGCCTGCACCTACAGATCGGCCTTTGAGGATCTTTGGTGTCGCCTGAGACACGAGTGACACGGAGGGGCTTGTTAGAGCAACAAGCCACAACAACAACAACAACAACAACATGTTTGCTAAGAAGAAGAGAGCTCCACAGCCCAGAGGACAGGGAGCTGCAGCCATGCAGGTAAAAGAAACAAACAGCTGTTCAGTCAAGTCGTGCTATTTAATCTTTCGATCGATAAATGTAATATTATCGCCCATTTCTACCGTATGGGGATAATGAAAACAGACTTATTCGTTAGCTTAACTATGACACATGCTCTTCCTGTAGCTGTTACTTTTAGGATTGTGTTTTATCTGGTCACTTGATCTACAACAAAACAAGTGACATTCCTAAAATAAAACAGTGCAGCTGTGGTTTACAGCCTCAAAATCATTTATAAAAACATGACAGCGGCTGGAATGACAGTAGTTTTATACAACCTTCAGTCTACGGTTAGAAAAGCTAACCAGCAGTTAGTTATAAGACTCCTGCGTTTCCGCCTCAGCCACACCCACCCTCACCGGACTTGTGCTGAGCTCACCAGGTCAGGTAGTCCGGTCGGAGGCTCTACGGACCGTGATGTGAGCAGATAACAGTATCATCTCTATTGAGAGAAGAGAGGGATTGACAAAAAGGGTGGAGATCTGCACTAAAGAGATACCAAATAAAACTCAGTTGAAGCAGGACAGCATACATGTAAATAGGCACGAGGCAAAAGAAAACAAGTTGAAGAAAAGGTTTCTAAATGTTGTTGAATTAATACAAGAAGTGAAAAAAAGAAAATGATGGAGGAATAAAACTGACCCTCGTGCTTCCTGGTTCCAGTTTGGTCTGTTTGGAGACATGAACCCTGAGGAGATGATGATGGGAATGCAGGACAATAATCTGGACGACCCGGACCTGGAGGCTGAACTTGCTGCTATCACAGGAAACAAAGCTGTTTCCAGGGGGAGAGCCAGGCCGAAGGGCAAGAGTGAGTGCAGTGGTTAGGATTCATACGTAGTTTCAGACCACCCAGCTGACACATTCAGGATTTGGAGGGAATTTAAAGGTCACAATTAACTTTTCAATTTTTACCGATTTTCACATCCTTTAACACGATGTCCTTTAAACCAAAAGACCAAAACAAACAAACCAGGTCTAAAACAGTGGCATGAAAATTTCATTTTGAAGCTTCTGAACCAGCAACCTGAATACCTGTGCCACAGATATACTAGGTCATACTGCAGTACTACATGGTACAAACCTCTGCAGCTCCTCATTTTAACCACATCGCATGTGTCTGCAGCAACGGCAGCAAAACTGCAAGTGAAGTGTGTACGAGATCAAACCTCACATACTCAGCTCTGACTGATGAACATGAGGCAGCGGTGCCTTCACTGACCTGTGCTTCATCCTCTGCACTGATCAACTCAGTTAAAAACGTCCTGTCCTTCTCATGTTGAAGGTCCTCTGCCCATGGACGACATTGCAAAAATGGCCGAAGCGTGTATGAGAGACGTGGACGATAATGACGACGAAGACTTGGAGGATGATGAAGATTTGCTGGTTAGTAACGAGTGTGACATCCTGACGTCGTCCTCGGCGTCAGAGAGAGTTCATGTCAGGATGTTTCGTATTTCTAATTCAAACATTAAAGACTTATAAACTACACTGTAGACGATAACTGGGCAGAAATGAGCACAACTTACATTGTATTGTTAATAAGATCCTTTTTTCTTGTCAAGTAGTTTTGGTCATTTGAAATAGTTGAAACAGATCCTTTGATGTTTCATATCGTAACCCTAACCCTCAGTGATGGAGCGGGCCTCAGTTTGGACGCTCAGGGTGGATTGTTTTTCCAAAGCTCACAGAGGAAAACATTTGTCACAAGCGTCGTCTGAATCTCATCTTCTCCGACCAGCAGTCACTGTTAATCAGATGATCTAATTTGACTTCATCAGGCAGAGCTACAGGAAGTGGTTGGTGAGGAGGAGGAGGAGGAGGAGGAGGAGGCCGCCAGTTCACCCACATCTGCTGCCTCTGTTCCAGGCTCTGAGGCAGAGACACCGTCATCACAGCCTCCTCAGGTACACACACACACACACACACACACACACACACAGTTGTTCCCTCATCTCCCACACGTTCTTCACGTGACACCTTCTCCCTTCTCTGTTCTGGTGGTACTACAGCAGGAAGTGAAGGTCTCCTCGGCGCCCCCTGGCAGCCTCCAGCACACCCTGGAGGAGAGGATCTCCATGTACAAGACGGCCTCACAGAACGCCAAGAGGGCGGGGGAGTCTTCAAAGGCCAGGAGGTTTGACCGCGGTTTGAAGGTAGGACAACAGAGAGCGCCATTGATTCTTCTACGGTCGATGGTCGATGACTTCATCATTTATTTACATTGTTGTTAGTCTGGAAATGACTGAGGTCGGTCAGTAAAGTCAAAATGAAAATGTTGTACACACCACAGAAAACATATACTTAAATATATGTATATATATATTTATATATATATAATAAAATGTATTTTTTGGTTTATTTTGTTTTTAAATTGAATATAATTTTTGTTTAAATATCATTTACATTTGGTGTCACCTGCAGACGTTGGAGACCATGTTAGCTGCCGTGAAGAAGGGGAGGCCGGTGAACGAGGCGGAGATCCCGCCGCCCGTGGCCACCGGAGCTCCCAGGGCTGCTGCTCCTCCTGAGCTCGCCGCTCCTGCACGGCCCGCTCCTCCTCTACCGTCGCCTTCTGACTCCGCTGGGTCAGATCCGCATGAGGCCACGACGCCCCCTGCTGCCGCTCCTGTGGTCGTACCAAAGATCGTGACGCCCACCAGCGATGAGGAGCAGAGCAGCTGCGCCACCTCCCCACATCTGAGCAGAGAGACAGAAGAGTCAGCCCCCCCGCTCCACAGCGGTCGGACAGACGGTCAGTTTCTGCTGCAGGTCACGTCACGACTGCGTCCGTCCTCTGCTCTGACCGTCCGGTGTCTCTGTCTTCACAGGGACCAGGACGATGCTGTTGGAGCGACAGCGAGAATACAAGATGGCAGCTCTGACGGCCAAGAAGCAGGGAGACCTGGATCAGGCCAAGGTTTTCTTCAGGATCGGAAAGGTGAGCGTCTCCACCTCCAGTGGTCTGGTAAAATGTGTCGTGTGTAGGAGGTGAAGTCGGTGGTGTTTGACAGGAACGATCTGAAACGATGGAACAGCGTGAATGGATGTAGAAAATTATTTCTAAATTGTTTCATAATCACGTTTAAGACAAATGTTTAAGACATTTTAGACATTGAATTGAATGTTATTTTCTAATCTGTGTAAATAAAAATCAACAGATTTTATTCGGTGTTTTTTGATTGAAACTTTTTAAACTGCTTTGTTTTTTAGTGTCATTTCATCCAGAGATCATTTAAACAAAACAGGTTGGATGTTTCTGGGTCACATGGTTTCCTGGAGAGAATGTGAAACATCTGAACAATCTGGATGCTGGCAGAGACCAACATTATCTCTCACACTGTTGGTTTTTTTTTTTTTTTGTTGTTGTTGTTGTTGCAGAGTTTCGATCCAATGCTGGAGGCACTGGAGAAAGGACAGAGTGTGGACCTGGGGAGTCTCCCTCCACCCCCAGGACAGGGTGAGGACGAAAAGACAGACTTAACAAATATTAAAATGAAAAAACAAAATTAACTGTGATTTACATACAGTCAGAAATAATATTTTTGTGGGTTTGAGAGACCACCAGGTGGAACTAACTGAAGGGAGTTAGTTTCCCACAGGGGAGGGCGCCACCCAGTGACTGGGCTCAGTACAACACCACTCAAATGTGATCAGTGTTTGAAACAGGAAACGCCGTGTCGTCCGTGTCTCTCTGACTCACCGCGTCTCCTGTCACTGCAGCCTCAGGAGGAAGTTCTGCCTCTGCCCCCCCGCGGGAACCTCCCTCTCCTCAGGACACACAGGTCACACAGTCGACTGCTGCTGCTGCAGCTGCAGGTGAGAATTATTAAACCACTGAGTCAATAACACACGGTTTTACTGTGTTAACAACACACTGTCACCACGTTATCACTGACTGAGGAAGGAAAGAAGTCAGGTGATCGTCACAGGACGAGTAAAACACTTTTAGATTTATTTAGACAATTTTCTTTAATCTCTAACTTCTTTAAGAAGACTCACTTTCATTGTGGGACGAATAAGGGACTCAATCATATTATTATTATTATTATTTGACATGATTTGTTAATTAATATTATTATTATTTGACATGATTTGTTAATAAAAAGCCACTGATACAAAGACGTTCTCATTAGTGTGATGGTCAGAAACCCTTATTGAACTCCTCCTCCTTGTGCCTCAGCTCCTGCAGCCTCCTCAGCTCCTGCAGCTCCTAAAGATGCTCTGGAGGCTCTGGAGCAGCGACAGGTCAAGTACGTGGAGGCCGCCGCTCAGGCCAGAGCCGACGGAAACGAGCGCAAGGCGCGAATGCACGACCGGATCGCCAAGGTACGACTCAGACTGACAGGACTGAGAATCCTGTGGAGAACTGACCTGAGGTTTAAACCAAATGTGTTTTCTCCTCCTGCAGCAATACCAGAGCGCCATCAGGTCCCACAAGGCAGGAAAAACGGTCAACTTTGACGAGCTGCCAGTTCCACCCGGTGAGAACCCGTCAGGATTCACGTTGTTATTTTGGCGTCTTCAGCTCATTCAGGTGACGGACTTTGGTCTCGGTCGTCCGCAGGCTTCCCTCCGATCCCAGGTCACAAATCTACAGGAGCCGAGCAGGGCTTCATCGCCGCTCTGGAAACGGCCGACAAACTGACCTCGACCGGTGCCACGAATGAGGCAGCGAATGAAGACGAGGAGGAGGAGAGAGAAGAGGAGGTGGCTGTTCGTACCAGCTCTGACCGTTTGTTGCTGTTTAAGGTTTGGTTCTAATCAAAGGTCACGTGTCTGTCTGGGCCCAAGCCCGCTGTTCCACAGGAGCTGAAGAAAGAAACACTAGACGTCTCCGCTGCTGGTGACAGACGGAAGAGGTCTCCGTCAGCGTCCCCTGACAGATCATCTGCTAAAGGAGGACTCTCTCCTACAGGTTGGTACCAAAAGGTCGGTTCCAGTAAACGGTTCTTATAAAGAAGGACTTTTTTTAACCCAACCCTTTGACTCCCAGGCATCCAGCAGCTGGAGTTCCTGGAGGGTCGCAAGAAGCAGTACCAGAAGGCGGCGCTGCAGGCCAAGCAGAAGAACGACCTGGAGCAGGCCAAGTCTTTACTGCGAGCGGCCAAGGGCTTCGACCCCATGATCGAAGCAGCGCGGCAGGGAGAGAGTGTGGACATCAGCTCGGTGAGGGGGGGGGCTTCATCGGTGCTTAGAACTAAACATGCCACTGTAGCCAACTCTCCTCGTTCTCCGCCTGCAGTTGCCGTCGCCCCCTGGTGACGATGATGAGGATTTCATCCTGGTTCATCACAGCGACGTTCAGATCTCAGAGAAAGCTGAGCAGGTTTACGTGCAGCTGGCAAAGATCCTCAAAGAGCAGTACGAGGTAAAGAAAAAAAAAATTCTGATGCTCTCTGTGAAGTCAGACATTTTTACTACACTTGACCTTGACTATTCTGTCTTTTTCAGAAATGCATGACTTACTCCAAGCAGTTCACTCACCTGGGCAACATCTCTGAAACCACAAAGTAAGACTCAGTTTACAGCAATATGTCCACTAGAGGGCAGCGTTAATCTCCAGTCCAAACACTGCTGCAGATGATGATGAATCTCATATTTTGTTTTTTAAATCTCTGACTTTGTTTCTGCAGGTTTGAGAAGATGGCAGAAAGCTGTAAGAAGAGTCTGGAGGTCCTGAGGTTGGCTCAGTCCAGGGGTCTGCCTCCTCCTAAACATCGCTTTGAGGAGCGCTCCTTCAACACAGTCAGGTGGGAGTTCACGGGAACGTTTTATCTCTTTCTCCAGAGACAGGTTTCTGCCTCTCCTCAAACTCTTCCCGTTTGAATTCCTTCCTCTCGTCTTCATCCCCAGGATCTTCCCAGATCTGAGCAGCACTGACATGGTGGTTATCATCGTCAAAGCCATGAACCTTCCTGCCCCCAGTGGTAAAAAACTAAGCACTACATGTTAAACATGTTTAACTGTGAATAGAACAATCAGCCTGACCTTGTTGAAGACACTCCCAGTTATTAATAATTTGATTTTATATTTGTGAAAATTCTGATGAATTCTGTTTGTTTTTGTTGACACCTTGGTCAAAAATGAATACATTTTTTTTTAACTCTACAGGGATTCAAACCAACGACCTGGATGCCTACGTTAAGTTTGACTTCCCGTACCCCAGCTCTGTAAGGAAGTTCAAGGTTGGCCTTAAATTCCAGGCCTGGTATTGTTAATTTAGACTGACCTTTTCGTTGTCTTCTGTCCAGGATCAGCCTCAGAAACACAGGACGAACGTCATGAAGAACACCAGCTCCCCAGGTCAGAGGGCGGCCTCGCTCCAGCCCAGGGTTTTCACTTCCTGGTGGTTTTACGGAGTTCCCCGCCCCAACAGTTGTCGCCTCTGCTGATCTTTGCGTCTCTTCTCTCCCAGAATTCAACCAGAGCTTCACGCTGTCCATCAACAGGAACCACCGCGGCTTCAGGAGAGTGGTGACCGTCAAAGGCCTCAAACTGGAGCTGCTGCACAAAGGGTGAGTCAGAGAGAGAGAGAGAGAGAATGTCACGGGTAAACATTTCCACCATCACTGAAGGAAGATGAAGCTGCGCCTCCTGCTGGGCTGTCGTCAGACTCACTGTCAGAATCAGTTCCAGTTGGTACCGTTAGTGCTCTGACTCACAGGACGTTTACAGATGTTGTTGTTGTTGCGTCTTCTCACAGCGGTTTCTTCCGGAGCGATAAACCAATCGGGACGGCCGTGGTGAAGCTGGACAAACTGGAGACGCAGAGTGAGATCAGGGAGATCGTGGAGGTGAGTGAAGACCCTCGTCATGTTCTCCTGGACTCCAGAATCAGAGAAGAAATAATAACAAACTGTTAAGGAATTAAATCAACGATGAAGTTCTGTCTCCTCTGACCATCATCAGGTGATGGACGGTCGTAAACACACAGGAGGTCGGCTGGAGGTGAAGGTCAGACTGCGGGAACCTCTGAACGGTCCGGACAAACAGACGAGCTCCGAGCGCTGGCTGGTGATTGACCAATCACAGGTGAGCGACCACAGAGTTACGTCCGAAGACGAACATGAGATTGTTTGGAGAGAAAAAAAAGTAATCTCATTTTTGTTTAAAGGTTCTTTTGTAAGGATAATCTTCCAGACTGGAGTCGGATCTGTGGATCAAGGAACTGATTAAAAATACTCAGAGGAGCAGCAGCTGGAGGAGGAGAACGATGAGGAGGAGAACGATGAGGAGGAGCATGTTTTTGGATCGGTCTAACGATGAGGAGGAGGATGTTTTTGGATCGGTCTCTGTTCAGGTTGGTTTCCGGGTCTTCACAGTTATTGGACTTTTTATTTTCGCACCTGTCAGACGTAAGAGCGCCCTCCAGCGCCAGGGTCCCGGTCCAAGTAGCCAGAGAACTTTTTCTTCTTCGTCTCCTACAGCGAGGGATTTCCTCCTACGCTGACGTTAGAGAGCCGCCTGTGGAACCTGCTGCTCACTGCTAGATAATCTAATCCAGAATAAATCCAGAGTGTGTAGATATTCCTCATAGATTATACGGCTCCACAGCTATGCACTAACACCAAAGTTATCACTGTTGCTGTAAAAAAAAAAAAAAAAAATCCTGCATCTTCGAAAACAGCTGCCAAAACAACAGGAAAAAAACTGTCATTTTTTTTTTCATCACAATTCTTTCCAGAGTGAAAGTGTCAGAGGATTAAGAAAAAAATAAAACACAAGGTATGAAATCTATACTTTAGAACTTTTTGGCACTTTTTCCTGTCACCAAGTTTGACACTTTGTAGACACTTAGTTTTTGGATGAGGGGATCGGGGGGGGTGTGTGTTACACTAAACAAGCACAAATCTGACACACGTCTGAGGATCAGAGGGCTGACTGTCTGAAATGAGCATTAATTTATCTGTTTGGAGGGTCAAAGACTCAAACTTTATCCACGTTCATCTGAGCCGTTCCTGAAACAACAACACTAACAGTGACAGTCCAACTCAGAACATTTGAAATTAATGAATTGTTTTCATTTTGGAAACAAAATAATTTGACGTTACTTTTATTATTTTTTTAACACCTATGCATCTCCTCCCTGTGATGGTGACTGAATGTTGGGGTCGAAGGTCAGAGGTCACAGTTTGTTACACCGGGTCACTGAATATCGGGAGGTGAAAGACCTCAGCGTTTTAAAGGCTCAGTTCACTCAAACTGAAGAGAGAACATTTGTTATGACTGTCAGGTGAACTGTCCCTTTAAATTCAGACTGCACAAGAAAAAGAAGCCATAGATGAAACTATGACACATCCTTCAACGGCTCTGTGTCCTCTAGAGGGGCTCACCCCCCACCTTGGGAACCACTACTTTACCTCAATGGGGTTTTACCAAAAAAAACAAAAAAAAAACTGTAGTGAAAACATTTCTGTTCGTCATCATCGGCCGACGTCAACTCTGTGACCAGTTCTTTCACTTCCTGTTGAAACATTTGTTTCTTCCTACTCTTTGGTCAGAGGATTCACAGAAAGTCTTTAAAAATTAAAACAATAACGTCGTTATTTTTCTGTCTAATATAAAAAATTAAATTTAAATCTATTTTGCAGCTGTTCTTTTTCCCTACTGTAACTTCTGTTTCTGTCTTTTACTGTGAAAATATTTTGTTGATCCTGAACAGGAGGAAATAAAAACAACAAGCACTGAACTCACTTTTCTAGAAGTTTTTATTTTACATATACTACAGTTCTTCAGGATGACCACGAGCAGTTTTTTTTTTGTAAAGAAAAAATATACGATTTTTGGCTTCTTGAAACAAGACGGATGAAAATGAGAAGTAAAAAAAAAAAAGCTATGTCATGAAGCGGTTCTGGTTTCACGCCGTTTGTTCTGAACAGTAACATCTCAGAGAAAAGTGGTAAAAAAAAAAAAAAAATGCTACGTTCTTTACCTGAAGGACTGATTGCACCATTTTTACATGGAGGACGTATTGCACGTGTCAGGACGCATAAAGAAACGACACCACCTGTCTTTTTCATTGATGCTGATTCGTTAAAAACAACTGCCGGAGTGCACAGTGGTCAAGGTCAAAGGTCAAACAAGAGTGGTGACATTTGACCTGCGGACAGTTTCATCTGCAACATCGCTCCGCTACGGACGCTCAAACAAAAGTGAAATGGAGGAGGGTTCCTTCAGCTGTGATTATTTGTACGTCTGATTGTCTTCTTCCCGCTCCACCTCATCCTGCTTTTCCATACGAATAACGATTAGGGACGAGCCGCAGCCGACTGACTGAGTAGACCGTACACAGGAAGTGGACGTCAGCGTCTGAAGAGGAAAATAAAGCTGTTTCTCCTTCAATATCCTTGACTTTTTACTCAGAGAATCCTGGAGGACGTCTTTGACTCTGAAGTCCAGTTCCTTTGAATCTTCTTTCATTTCTTTTACGACCGGCCCTTGGGCGTCTGGACGCCTTAACTCGTCCACTTCCTGTTTATGGTCTGTGATTTTTGACGTAACGGAAGATGAAAAAGCAACAGACAAAAACAGGTGAAATACATTCGTTAGGTTTTTTTAAGGTCCGTGATGTTGAAGGAGAAAAGTCGACGCAGCAGCAGCAGCTGAGAGCCGACACACACACACACACACACACACACACTCCACCAGTTTAAACAGAGCTGACTCCGTCAGATGTGAAGAATTCTACAGAGCAGCTGAGATGAAGAACGTTCCAGCTGAAGTCGATAACGTCGGAGCCGTAGATCCTTCTCTGTCCTCCTGGGAGAACCTTCTAGAACCTCCTGGAGCAGAGTGGCAGCAGCCGTGACTCCTGCTCTGACTCTCCTGTTGATGGCTTAGAATCCAGTGCACTGTTTCTGACAATGTTTTTTTTTTTTTATAATATATAGTGTATTTATATATATTTATATAGAATTGTACAAGTTTACATCTTCAACAGTTTCTTTGTCTGAATTAAAAATATCTGGAGAGTTTCTTTTCTTTTCCTGGAGCTGTGATGTCTTTGAGATCCAGGATTAAAACCGTTTTCTCTCTGTTGTCGTTGTGTTTGTCTGTACACGTCGTTGGACTTTAACAGTAAAGCATTAGAACCTTGGATTTGTCCACTTCAGGGAAAATGTGAACTTCCTCCTGACTTGACGTCGGTCGGTGAAGTTTCACAGCAGACGCCGGTCGTTTCTCAGACAGAACCGTGTTTCAGGAAATTTCCTGGAGGCTACGGCTGGAAAAAAAGGTTTTTTTTCCGCTCTAGAAAATATGTACAAGGCTTCGACACGTGGGTCCGTGAAGTAAAGCATCTGGTGACGGATGAGTAAAGCTGGAGACTGGAGCCGAGACTGTTTTTGTTTCTCCTTCTGATGGACGGAGGCTGCAGGCACTGAGATCCATGAGAAATAATAAAAAAAAAAATCACACCACAGAGGGGCGCTGTATCCCTCAGCTGATGGTTTGTAGCATTTCCTGAAGACTTCAAGTCTCCCTCCTGCAGCGTTTGTGCTACACTGACGTCACACGCTGACGTCACACACTGAGGTCATACCGTGACCTTGAATTGAAGCGTGGACCAACCTGACATCACACCGGGCCGGGTCAGTGGGTCTGTCCACACACACACACACACACACACACTGGTTCAGGACAACCTACAGACAGGAAGTAACTGACCTGAAATACTCTATTACGTTAATACTTCACTAATACTCTTGCTTCACTAATACGATTGCTTTTTAACGCTTACGGACTCGGAACAGGGTTCCCAACCACTGGGTCCCAGACCAATCCCAGGCCATGGTTTAAATTGTATTCATTATCAGTGGTGTTTTTTTCAAACCATTTTCTCATTTTAAATGAGAAAATGGTTCACGGTCGTTTTCCTTTCTTTTCTACTTTTATTAAGTCGTTAGTTTGAATCCCTGATGCAGTTATTATTATTCCTCACTGTCTGATGCTGTCGATGCTACTTTTTAAGACCAACATCAGTTAATGCACTTTGACCTCTGACCTTACTCGTCCACGCAGCCTCGTCTGTAAATATATAATCTGTACTACTGATCTAAACCTTTTCACTCGTTGTTAAAATATATATCTGATCTGAACAAACTCTTCTTCTTTCAAACCCGCGGTAATACCGTCAGTATACCACCAGAGGCACTTGTCTAACCTTTAAATACCACAGTGTGACGTGTTTGGCGTGTGTTTGAGGACAGACCCAGACCCACCAGACCACCTGTATAAAATATGCACGTGGCGACCTCTGGTGGTTGGATGCATAGGTTTGAGTGGAGAAGCGCTACCACAGCTGGACCACGACAGCTTTCAGGCTGTTGTGAAGTGCAAACAAAGTCGGAGGGAGAAGATGGAGGAGAAGGAGGAGGAGGAGGAGAGATGGAGCACCAGGCTGTGAGATAGAAATAAAAATAAAAAGTTCCAGCTTGTCGTGACGTACGAGTGCCTTCTAGGAGATGATCTCCAGGATGTAGAAGACCAGCTCCATGACCACCGGACCCTCACTCAGCTGACAGGCTCCACTGTGGATGACGGGGATCAGGGCGCTGTCCAGGTCACTCAGGTACTGAGGCAGCAGAGGCTGGCCGTTACTTCCTGCCAGGTAGCCCACCTGTGAGGAGGAAGACTGGGTGAAACAGAGCAGCCAGGAAACCACTTCCTGTCTGAAAACTTCAACAACAAACACCTTCACAGGTGTGGACATGAAAAAATGAAAACTAATTACACGTCTGCTTTTATTTTGACACCAGGTTCACCGTCATCAACCACCGAGGATCAGGTTTCTGATCTTCTCATTAAACTGAATGTTTGTTTCAGCACCAGGAGCTGTCCACCAAAATCTAATTCACAGCCTCAAGTACCACAGCGCCCTCCTGCCCCTCTGCTGCCCCCCTGTGGTCCAGTACCTGGTCAGAGTCCAGCGTGACCCTCAGACCCAGCTTGGCCATGCCGTCCTCCTTCAGCAGCTTCAGGTGTGGACACAGAGCCACACAGAAGGCTCTGGCCACGTTCTCCGTCAGACGGCTGTGATCAGCAGGGTCACTCAGACCGTTGGGCTGGTCTTCACTCTGGAGGAAGAACACCTGCAGAGAACACACACACAGATGAACGCCGTCAACAACAGGATGGAGAACGAAGATCAGCCGGAGGACGATCCACGTCGGCTCTCGTACCTCCGTCCAGCGGATGACTTTGCCGTTGGCTTTGAACTCGGAGCCGTGGAAGATCTTGACGCTGGTGATGGACTCCATGGACTTCCCATCGATGGGACTGATGACACTGGACAGACAAACACACAGGAAGGACGAAGGAGAGTCAGACAAAGATTGTGTTTTTCCTCAAAACATTTACCTGAGCTTTAAATCATTTCTAATTGACATTTTATTTCAAATTTTTTATTTGGCTGAGGGTGAAATTCAAAGTGTGTTCAGTCCGTGCTGTAACTGCAGCACAGACTGAAGTTCCAGCAGCTCCTCATCAGAGAAGCTGCTTCTAATGAAGTGAGACAGCGTCTGGAGAAAGACTTTAATTTCATTTGAACGCTTAAAAAGTCAAAGTTAAAGCCAGACGTTTTATAAAGTAGATATAGATTTAATTTGTGTCGGTCTGTGTCTCCGTCTGAGACGCAGTAATCTGCAGACGTCCACTCTGCTGATGCTGCTGATGCTGCTGATGCTGCTGAGATCCTCCTCCACGGGCCAGGGAGTTTTAACGGTGAAGTAGAAAATGTGATTGATTCCCCTCTGTTACGACACTCCCTCCCCTCCCCTCACCCTCCCTCACCCTTTGTTGAAATTGTGGTCGTCCTCTGTCCACTGGACGTGGACCAACTCCTGGTTCTCCTCCTGGTCTGCTTTACCACAGGTGATGGTGAAGTCCTTCATGTCCCTCAGGGCCTGACGGAGAGAGTCCATGGTCTCAGCTGTGATCTGGATCATCACCCCATCTACGGGGGAGGAAGAAAAAAACAAATCTAACAGTTAACTTATTGACTAGATGATTATTATATAAATATATATTTGTCATCAGCAACAGCAGCAACAAGGCTTCAGGTAATCAACCAATCATCTGCCTTCCCAGAAGTTGCTTCTGTGCGAGCGTCTAGTATTTCCATGCACTGAGCTCCGACTCATCTTCTCTACAGTTCTCACCTTCCACGATGCTGGTCTTGGCCAAGAACCCCGAGGAGGCTTTCAAGGCACCGCTGAACACAAAGAAGCAGGCTCCGGTAACTGTGGGAGGAACAAGAGCGACTTCAGAAGTGGACCGCGGTCTGGGCAGCGCACAGTTATCGACCCAGACGGATCGGTTTTCACAGTTCCAGACGACCAGCTGCACCGAGCAGACCGTGGGGGGGGGTGACTCTGTGTGTGTGTGTGTGTGTGTCAGCACCTTTGCGAGGCTGGTGGTGGATGCTGATGGCCTGCGTCTGGTAGTTGCCGTCGTCGTTCTGGACGCACACCAGGTGGGAGTCGGCCTTGTCGTTGAAGCACGCCCCCATGGCCAGCACGTGTTCGTTGGACTTGTTCATGGCCTTCATGAGCTGCAAGGGCAGAAAACATGACATGAGTGTGTGTGTGTGACCGAGGCGTCTCTGGGGTCCGGGCTGAGAAGAATGGTCTTCTGTACGGCTGCACAGTTAAGCCTAATTGCCGTGGCCCTGAGGGCGGTCGGGGGGGTAGGGGGGGCATGGCAGTGAGATGACAGATAGTAGAAGAAGACACCGACTCTGGAGTTCTGCTGCGACTCAGACGTGAACCTGAAAACCTGCAGCACTTTAACCACTCGCTGTGTTCAAGACTGGCCCAGAGAAACCGTCCTCCCTTCACTGACTCACCCATCTGTCACCGCCCCGGCAGCCAAACTCTACAACTGGCAGGTTTCCCTCTGCCAACAGCAGCTCCGTGTGCATCACTGCCTTTGGTTTGACTTTCATTCAAAGCTACAACGGCTTCAACAGCAGCTTCTCAAACCTGTCATTATTCTGTTGGAGAATAAATGAAGACATGAGACTGACCCCAGAGCAGTTCTCACTCTCTCTGTGTATATGTATATTATATATTTATTCTATGTCTACTAGACTAGACCAGAGAATTAGCCGCGGGGGTCAAAAAAATGCAGTGACAAAAAAAAGTAAATAATAAAGATCTGTAACAGGGGTCATCAACTCTAGAGGTCAGAGGGTCTGGACCGACGGCCGGACGGGCTGAGCAGAGACCAGGGACGGAGGACACTCACCTCATTGTATCGATTGCTGGGAATCTTGATGCTCGTCTTCCTCACCTCCATGTCCACGACCAGACCTTTCACCACCGGTAGTGTATACTGGTAGTTACGGAAATCCTACAATATAGACACAGAAATAACCAGAAACATTATACGGGGCAAACAGCTGTAGGCCCAGGGCAAGAACTACTCTGCCACCAGGTGGCCCCAGTGAGAGATTTCACACATTAATAATGTGAATGAAGGACGCCTGAATGAAGGAGTGAAGAAAAAACAAAAACAGAGCACTCACTGCCACCTGAATGAAGGTGTACAAAACAAAAACAGAGCACTCACTGCCAGCAGGTTCATGATGGTGTGACCTGTTTCTCCAAAGAGTGGCTTCCTGTAGCGGACGCTGAACAGCGGACACGGATAAACTGAGAACAGAGAAATGACCCGACATTATTTACTGTAAACAGAACAAAAGAACTGCTGGGTCTGAACGACAACCTTCAGACCCAGAGCGACGGTCAGAGGACAGCTCTGCTCTTCGTCTTCTAATCATGGATCTGTTTCATTATAAACGTATAAAACGTCTCATTATTCTGACATTATTCTTCACATCAGTGCAGCCCAGGCACAAGTAGAACTCTCTGCTTCTCCATCAACCACAGCTCCTTCAGTGAATATTTTTAGCCTCTAACAGCTGGATAGGACGCTCACATTCACCCTCCTTAATGATGGAATCAATTTTAGCCTGAAGCTACAGGTCAGCAGCAAAGGGAACACGGCTCGTTTTAATGGCTCTGCTAAGAAAGCGCAGCGTTGAGGAGCTTCAGTCGTTCGTGTCTCTGTTAAAATATTCCATCCCTGCTTCTTGGAAGTCGGCGAGGGGCTTAACGGAGCCAGGCGGTGCTGAGGGCTGGCAGGGATTTGGTGGAGGAGAAGAGCTCTGATAAAACAGGAGTCTAACAAGAGCCTGTGGTTGATGTGAGAAGATGGGATGAGTGTGGAGCGGGGGGGGTGGGCCTCAGGTCGGCAGGCCTCAGCTGACAGCTGACAGAGCGGAGGACCCTCCTCAGATTCACCTGAAGCCGAACCATCTCTGCTGCTCTTGTCACGTAAATACATTACACTAACGGAACGGATTGTTGTGCTCAGTAAGTTTGCAGTCAAATCATAGTTATTGCAACGTGATGCCAACATCAGTAGCGCCCCCTCTCCCTCCCACCCCCACCCCCCGACAGACTACAGTTCAGTCTGATTCAGGTCGATATCTTTGCGTCATCCATCAGAAATATGAAACCACATCCTTTTCCATTTTCCTTCAGCTTTGGTAGACTGTGCCGTTTTCTCTTACAGTCACATTCTAATATTAATATATTCTAAATGTAGCTTTATATTTGATTAGTCTTTACGACCACAAACAGAAACTTTTATTTGGTAAATCAGGTCCAAACTCACAGCGGTACTCCGCCCCTAGTCGCAGCATGAGGCGGATGGGGAAGACCTTGGCCCAGGGCGTCTCCCACTTCTGGATGAGGATTCCAAAGAGGTACGGTGGGTTTGGCAGCAGGAGGTCCTGCAGTGACTGGAAGGAGGGGCTGATGTAGAGGAAGCCCCCGTGCTCCTTACTGCCCAGGAAGCTCTGTGTGAAGAAGGAGTGGCTCAGGTGGCTCAGCACGTTTCCTGGAGGAGAGGACGGAGAGGAGGTGAGGCAGAGGTTGGTGAAATACGAGAGGGGCAGATCAGTCTGGTGGCAGAGGGGTAATATTATCTGTGTTTGGGGGCAAAAAGTACAAAAAGCATGAAAAATAGATGGAAGAGATTGGACTAAAAATAAAAATATATAAAAAAAGAAGCTGTGAACGAGACATAGAAGTGGAGAAAATGATGAATATTACAGGAGGAGACAGAAATGAGACGGAGCGGGGGGGGCTTCAGCCTTGTCTGGTCCAAGACTAAAAAAAAAAACTCCTGTCTCCGCCCTCCTCCCCCCAAACAAACCCTCATATGACCTAAAAAGTCTCATGTTACTAATTATCCTTTTGTCGTCAGTGACTTCAGACGACATGTAACTCTAAGCCACTAACGGTCGGTGGCCCGGGCGCAGCTACAGCCCACTCTTCTTCTGTAAATCTGTGACTGATGGCGACATAATCAGAGATGACACAGACAGTACGGCTGCTCCTCCACCAGTGTCAAGCTGCTCCGGTGTGAACGTGGAGGAGGAAACAGCCGGAGGGCAGCGAGCTGTCAGAGTCACACAGTGTTAGCTACGATTGCTTCACAGCATACGGAGTTAAGAGCACGAAACAAGCAGTGATGAGGTGTCACGCCCTGGGGGAGAGAGGGAGAAAGGAAAAGAAGGAGGCCAAACAGCAGGACGCTAATGTGCGGAACTTTGTTTTTTTTTTAATGGAAAAGGATGAGACACAATTCAGTGGTGAGGGAAGAGAAAGGGAGGACAACAAGCTGCTCCAGTCTCCAGTAGGGGGCAGGGTTGGGGTGATTAGATTTACACCTGGGGGCCTGTCTTACCACTGAGGGCCTCCTGGTAGAGGTGGACAAAGTGCGTGAAGATGTCCTTGGGTATGGTCTTCTCGTCAGGGAGACACTGCAGCAGGACGACCACCTCTGCCTGACCCACGGCGTGCATACCTTTGGTCGTCACGTACCAACACTTCCTGTTGACGTCTGGGGGTGGAGACGGCAGGGATGAGGAATTAGAAATGACCATGAACCATGAACCAGTCCACTCAGCCAATAAAGAAAGATTTAGTTAAATGTTATCAGTGGAGATGATAAAATAGTTGAAGACGTTTCCTAAAATATAAATACAAACTGTTTTACCACTACTGCCCCCCTGAGACCATTCAATGAACCGCACCAACAATTGAAGCATTATCGTCAGCGGCTGTGGGCGGTTTACTCACAGTTGACCAGCTTGACCATGGCCAGCAGGTTGGCATTCAGGACAAACACCAGCGGGTCTGGGCCTCCCTCCTCCAGCTGCTGCAGGAGGACGATCTCTGACGGCCTCTCCTCCACGGCGTAATCTGGTGGAGCGTTAGAGTGGAGTAAAAGGGGAGCAGACGGGTGTGAAGACGTTAGTTTAAAAAAAAAAAAAGACAGGGATGGTGGTGAGAAGGGGTGAGGATGAGAATCGGAAGGTGAGATGAAGAAAATGAGGTCCTAAAATAATCTCTCCCCTCTCCTCCTCCCCCCTCCTCCTCCTTCTTACAATGAGTGCACGTAAAAAACAGGAGCACATGATAAAAAAGCACATGAAGAAAACCCAGGTCATTCGCAGGAAACACATCGGCTGACGGAGCAGTGGGGTGGAAGGGTGAGGATGAAGGCAAGCACCTGTGATGTGGCCTCCCGTACCTCCTTTGACTCCGGTGGAGATAAGGATGGGAGGGAGCCCGTCCTCCGGGATCAGACTGACGGAGCTGCCCACGGGGCTGCCCACCGGGGCCACGGGGTTGTGGGCCGCCTGAGGGTGGAGATGCAGGGTTAGATGTTCAGTAGGTGGTTGTGACAGTACCACGGCAGTACTGTAGTACTACAGTATAGTACTACAGTATGTGTTCTCTCACAGTGGAATTAGTTCAAGATTAACCATCGTCTTTATGACGTCACAGACGAAATACATATAAATACTTAAATATTCTTTTATGCTAAGCTAACAGCATTGCGTCATTGTCTTTCTCACCTCTGAGGATCCAGAGGAGGACGACTTGTTTGAACTCGCAGAGATGGCCAGCGACTGTGAGGAGGCGGGGCCGGGAGCCGGAGGTTTAGGCGACACGTCTGACCCGTCTCCGTTGGGCAGGACCCCGTCGGCGAACCACACCCTCCTCTGTTCGCGTGTGAGGGACGCTAAACACGGGAGACTGAGTTCACCTGAAAGTCCCGGTCATAGACTGAACAACCTGACCAATCGTTCTCTGGACGAGCACACACTGTCAACAGGAAGGATTTTTAATGTTTGGTAAAGGTCGTACCCTCAGTGCCGGGCTGTTTGAGGACCCCCACTGGCACCATGACCGTAGGAGGGGGGGAGCTGAGGACTCCAGACGCCTGGGCCTGCTGCAGAGGGGGGATGGTGGAGCAGTACTCCGCCGGGTTGTTGGGGTTCGGACTGTGGTGGCTGGGAGGAGCCGGCGTGTCCAAGGACTGGGCTGGAAGAAGGGACGGAGGTTTTTAGCTCTGGGCTACGTAAAAACGCTAACCTGCATCAGGAACGTTGTTCAGTGACACGTGACCAAAATTAGATTCAAGCAGACAGGTATAAATATATCAGAGAAGATACAGACACAGTAACTGTCCCAACAGACAGATGATGGATAGAACAATCTCCAACTCTGGGGTCTCAAACTCCCGGCCGGCTGACAGGAAGTGTTCCACGAGCCTCACACATCTAGAACAGATGATAATTCAATGCTTCTCACCACTGGTCAGAGCAGAGTGACAGGTCACACAGACCCGAGCCTCCTTCCTGTCCATGTAGACCAGTCTGCACTTCAGACTGCAGCATGTGGCACAGAACACCTGTGGATAGAAAAGAAATAATTAAAAAAAAAAGGGGGATTGGTTTTATTGTCCAGATTTATCACACACCTGTGGGAAACTTTCATTTTTCTAATTCCATCTTTAGATGAGTGGAGTTCAACTCCAACAGATTATCACCTAATTACATGTTATTATTATTTAATGTGCATTTTACCAAATTAATCAGAGTGTGGACAAGCTGCAGTGGGGGTCTGGGGGGTGAGGGAGGGGGGGTGTTATTTGAATTCAAACCCATTAATGAGCTGTGCTGCGGAGCCTCCACTCTGGTGTTGGATGATCCCAGGATCCTACTGTGTCTTTTGTTTCTGTGGCCCAGCACTGGTGTCAGGATTACTGCAGCGACAGCTCCTTTCAGCTTGAGTGGCTGTGTGTGCGTGTGTGCGTGTGTGTTTGTTTCCCACTGCCGGGAAATTAAGAAGCGAACCGGCAGTGTTCCAGTGCCGTGTCAGCGACCACAGCTTCACTGCTGCAGCACGTGTGGAGCTGAGGCCGACGTTGGGGATGGAACAAAGACACGGACTTTCACATGTCATGGATCTGAACTGATACTGTACTACTGCTGTGTGTGAAGAGGAGGTGGTGACAACGAAGTAGTGACAGGTCGCCGTGGAAACCCTGAAGAGTCCAACGGTGCTGTCTGAATCTCTGACCAAAAAGGATTAAATGTGTTCTGATGGGGGAGTATTTCAAATACACAAATAACCTCGTAGTATATTGGCATAAAAATAATACACATTTACATGCATATATATATATATACATATACAGATATATATATGTATATATGAGGGGCTGCTGTCTTTTTGATTTCTATTTAGTTCAGTTACAAACACGGTCGGACTCCTCCTCTGACCTTGCCGCAGGCTCTGCAGTGGTGCCTCCTCTTGGTGAACGTGAACTTGGCGTCACATTTCATACACACAGGAGCCTGGGAGTCAGGCACCCAGACAGGAGCCACCTCCCCCAGGGAGCAGGGAGGTCTCCTGCCCGCCTGTAGGTCATTGTCCGGGCTCTCCGACCTCAACAGTGTGGGAGAGTGGACCGAACCATCTCCGTTCACTCTGACCAGTGTCTGGTCGGCCTCACTCGGACTCGTCTCAGACGTAGGCGTGAGCCTCCGACCCTGGTTCTCCAGGTTCTTGTTTTTGCTGACAACAGGGTTGTGGATCTGCCCAGAGAGAGGCTGCGGGATCTGGAGTTTGAGGCTGACCGGCTGCTTCGGCCGCGCTCCTCCGTAGGGAACGCTGACCGGCTGCAGACGACTGTTGTTGAGCTTTGGTTGGACGCTGCCCGAGCCCACGGCACCTCCATCGCCGCTCTCCTGTTTGCTCTCCTCCATTTCTTTCTCCTCAGTCACAGAGTCCTCCTTGGAGGGAACAGGAGCAGTCGAAAACCCCTGCAGTCTCTGCTCCGTCTCCTCCTCCCTAGAACCACTGCTCCTCTCCTGCTCCGCACCATTCAGAAGTCTTTGAGAGTTTATCTGCTCTCCTGAGCTGCAGCTCCTTTCCTTCTCCATCTCGACCCCAGGTGGAGTGACACCATTCTCCTCTACCTCTACCGTCTGAACATCTCTCCCTCCGTTAAGGAAACCTCCTCCATGATCCTCCTGTGAAACACCGACACCGTCCTCCTGTTTGACTCCTTCGCCTGCTCGTCGTCTCGGTTCAACATTTGGTGAAACCTTCTCAGCTGGAGCTTCACTCAGTCCGAGCTCAAAGCTGAAGTGTGTGTGACTGACGGTTGAACCTCCTCCTCCTCCTCCTGCTGCTGCGGAGGTTCTCTCCTCCTGAGGAGACCCAACCGCCGGGTCTGAACCACCCAGTTGGTTGTGCTCTGGTGAACTTATCTCCTTATTTTGCACTCTGTGTGGTGGACTCAGTGAACAACCGTTCTCCACGGCACCACCTGCGCTCACAGGGGGCGGCGTGAGGTCATCGGACCCCACCAGTTTGCCGATGTTTGGCTGCGGGAGCGGAGGGCTGTAAACATCTGCCGGTCTCTCGTCCACCCAAGACGGGAGTTCAGGTCCCGGGTGTCTCTTTGGTTCGCCCCCCGGGGAGGCAGTGGAGGAGGAGTCAGAGAGAGTCTTGAAGGGTAGCGGACTCTCCCGGGGGCTGAGGTCTGCGTGGGCCAGGGCGGGGTTCAGAGAGAGCAGGTGGGCTGGGGGGGCCAGGATCTGAGTCCACTTGGCATCAGAGAGAATTGGTGTGTCCACCTCATCTGGGAGACAACGAAACAGGAGAGAAAGATTCATTCAGTCAAACATTATAAACTTCTATCTTGCAAACCTGAATTGAAAGCGTTATAAATAGCAGAACAATCTGGGAGACCAACTGAGAAATGAGGTTGATATGAAGTGGGAAATTGGTGCACACTAGGACTGGGAGATTGTGGGAAAGTGGGCCACACGCCTGTGGGAGCCGTCAGTCAGACTGACACATGACGACCACGTAGTGGAACACAGGAAAACATCCATCTGAAGGCATTCAAAAACAACTTTCTCACAACGCTGCGTCAGCTACTGCACGCCGCTCTCCTCCCTCCACTGGAATTCATAAGCTGTTGTTCTGTGTGTCACACACACACTCACACACACACTCACAGATAATCTACTGGATCTGGAGCTGCTGAAAAAGACAAACAGATAAACACTCCAGCAAAAAAGACCTGAAGGATTTTTCAGGGTTAGGTTTAATTTTCTTTTTTTTTTCCATTTTCGGCTTCTTCAGTTTAAGAATCTCCACGGTGAATAATCCTCACATGTATCTGGTTTTACACTAAATCCTCTTTCTGACACAATCCTCCCTGTTGTTCAGTTCCTAGAACTGGTCTGGGGGTCACAGACTGTGACCCTGAACTGACCCCCGTGAACTCCCACTCAGTTCAGCGTCCTGGACTCTGGACAGACGGGTGGACGTCTCGTCCTTGTCAGCTCCTCACCTTCATTCTGCTCAAACTCGTCCAGGACCTTGTCCAGGTTGAAGGCCTCGGCCTGGAAATAATTCTCCATGGGTCAGGAAGCTCCACCCTGCCGACGGCTGCGTGAACCTGCAGGAAGAGCAAGAGGAAGAGAATTCCAAAGGTTTTCCCTCCTCCCGTGGCCGAGGCCAGAGAGAAGAACTAACAAATGGGTTCCACTGAGGCTCCTCACCTGCACAGAGGTCCGACTCCACCGGATGTTTATCTCAGCACGTTTCTCCTGTCACTTCAGCCAGTCTGGCTCACGCCCAGCGCCCACACCTTCAACACAGAAAGTGCCATTCAGTAAAAATGCTGCTGCTGCTGCTGCTGATCCAGTGATTCACACTGTTTGTTTAATGTACAGAACTTTTCCCAGGACGTTTAAGGACACTGAAAACAACAGAAAACTGTCACAAAAAGAAAGAATATTTTAGAATATTTTCTTTATCTGTTCTGAAGTATTTGTCATTTCCTTTGGTTTTAGTTAAACTCTGTGACAACATCGGTCTGGTCAGAACTACAGAATATTCTTCAGCGAGTACTGGAGCTGGACAGAACCTAAACCTAAACCTACACACAGTGTCCTTGCAAATGAGGGGACCTTGGAGCAAGGATGAGGTGTGATGGTGTGTGAGAGGTGTAGGTGTGAGAGTGTGTGTGTATCAGAGTCTGTGCAAATGAGTTACAGCCAGGCTGATATTCAGGGTCGTTCTCATAAGGACAAGAAGGAGCAGCGATTACACCAGAGACCAAATATTCCGCAGAGCCAAGGCTCTGGGAGAAACCAGCGCAGTCGACACATTTTCCGGTTAGTTTAAAATGCAGACGCGGACGAACGATGTCAGCACAAAACAGCGACCGCACAGGACAGGAGGCTACAACAGAGAGGTGGGGGGGTGAGGGTGGGGTGGAGTGGGGGTCAGGTTGTGTGTAAACAGAGCTGTGTCACAGTCTAACATCACAGCATCCACTGGTGAGTGAAAACAAAGTGTGTTCCACCCAGGAAACATCCTCACAGACGGTGACAGTCCAGATGGAGGCGCGATGACTCAGTTCAGCCACTAAGACAAGCCCAGTGACATCATCACCGTCAGCTGGTGATCCAGTAATTCATTTATTCTAAATTTAAAAAAAAACATTTACCAAAACCTAGTTAAGTCTCTGCAGACTAAGTTAAAACTTTACATTCAGATTTTTAAGAATTAATGTTACAATTAATCTGCAGCTTTAAAATAAAATCTCTATATTTTCCACTTTTATAAGTAAACATTAGGTTGTCTTTATATATTTTTCAGTCAGTAAATATTTTCATGCAGTGTTTTTTTCTTAGTGAAACACAAAGTCAGTTTGTAAGGATTTAATAAAATAAAGTTCAGTTATATCTGACCCAGCTGTAATGTATTTTTACACAGTAAAACCTTCAAATGTTTGTGATGAAAAAGTAACAGTATATTCATGAACACACACACACACACACACACCTCTCCACGGGGAGTTCTCTGATTAACTTTTAATTACTCTGCAGTGGATGTGAATAATGCATCTGTAGGCGACGAGTATTTATAGACGTGTAAACCTGGAAGGAGCTTTTAAAGATGATGTGTTTGAAAAGACCGTGCGTCCCCCAGTCTGGATCACTGCAGGGTTTAAACTGTAGGCTGTAACATCATCCATGTGACCCCAAAGGTCAACAGAGGCAGAAAAAGAAAAGAAATAAACCACAAAACAGAAATAATCTCTGGTCAATTTCATCAACAACTGCAGAAACTCTGCCCTCTGCTGGTGTTTTCTTTCTGCAACTTAATAAACATGATGAAAAAACAAAAATAAAGAGCAAACAAGTTGCTACAAATGACAAAAAACTTGAACTGAACCCTATCAGCTGCGGGCTGCGCTGCAGGCAGTAAACCAGACATGCAAATAATGAAAGGGTCTATCAGACAACTAACTCAATAAGCCAGTGCTGACTGGACGTCCTCACATGGAGATGTAATTGAATAAGGCGAGCTCATCAACATGCAGGAAGCTCCGATCCACTGGACAGCTACAACAGCCTCTTAATGAAGCCTTTGTTGTGGAAACCAGACCACGTTTGCCTGCTGCTGTCACTTCCTGTCAGGACATCACTTCCTCCCCAGTGATCTAAAAATGCATTACGGTCACTATCTGGACACTTCTGGACACATGCTCCGCTGATTTCCTGAATTCACAGTTTTGCGTCAGTTATGAAAATCTGAACATAAATGAATTAAATTTCCAGAATTAAATCCCTGATAAGATGAAACCGTCTCACGGGAAGCTCACACCCACAGAGTGTGTAACAACCGAGTGATGACAGTGACTCAGAGCAGGAGATAATCTTGACAAGACGAGGGTCAAATCATGATAAATGATCTGATGATGCCCTGACGCAAAACGTTTCCACGTCTGCTATTGGCTGATTAGAAGTGGGGGTGCGGAGGAGGAAGGGGTGTGGGGGGTGGGAGGTGTTGGTAATGACATCAGCATGAATCAATCATGTCCGTCTTAGTCTGCACTTGATTCTGATTAGGTTTGTTTTTGTCATCCAGCGTTCATTCATGAAACTCATGAATTTGTCAAATGGTTTTTAAATGAAGAGGAATCCTCCGTGTCCATCACCAGTCCCATCAACACAACCACAGTATTAACTATGTATGATCCATGACGTCATCCATAATAAACCACAGACCTAACTCAGATGTTTGCACCGTGTGCACAAATCCGACTCTGTGTGACCCCCAACGTTTTTAACCCGTTAATATTTTATGACTTGACCTTATTTTTCAATGCCTGATGATTATGAAAAGTTCTATCCCCACACTTTAGTTTTAACACTTTTTTTTCAGCCTAAATATGGACTGTATTTTCCCACTTCACTTATTAAATACTGTTGATGTTTATTCAAATATGTTAAAAATAAAGCATCTTTAAAATAGAACAAAAAATCTACTTTCAAGACCCATATAGAAATATAACTTTCTACATGAAGGGCAAAAAACAGTGCAAACTGTGTGTTCCACCCTAAAAAAAAAGTTTTATTAGCCCTTGCTAACATTTGACTGAGTTTAGGGAACTCCAGAGTTTGAGGAAAACCCTGAAGTATTTTTTGGTGACAGTGTAACTTCCTGGTGATGCTTCAGGAACTCCAAACCGTTCCCCTTCCCTTCCTCAAGGCCCTACATATTTCCCACGGCTGAGCTCACATCCTGATCAACAGCGTTCCTAGATCCAAGGCCGACACGGCTGATCATGCTCCAGACTTCGTCTGGTCGGCGCGAACACAGGAAACCCCAAACGACCACTTCCTCCCTTTGAGAATGGACTGACATCATCTTCTAGCTGCGTGATCACATGACTGATGGGAGTTCACCAGAACCATTTCTTGATGTGTTTTTTTTACTTCTGTTCTGCTAGGAATAAACAAAATGAAAGGAGAGGAGATGAGAGGAGAACGGGCCGCAGGTTTGTCGGCTTCACACAGCGACAGTGACACATTTGTAAAGAGTTTCTGAGGATAATTCCTCTCAGCGCGGAGGTTGAGCAGGTGACTCCGCTGAGGATTGAAGAAGGTAAAGAAGAGAGCGACTGTCCTCGTCTCACAGCTTCACAGCGGTGTCAGCAGCTATTAATGAGCTTCCTTTCTCCCTCATGTTTTGATCTACATTTAACCACAATGAGACAGAAATAAAGAGACAGACTGCCAGGCGGCCACCGGGGGGACACTCCTAATACTTTCTAAAAGTACACCCACATCAGGGGAGTCTCTCTGCACACATGAGAGGCTCTCAGCGCCTGGCAGCCTGTCGGATCAGTGCACTGACTCAGTCCACTGACTCAGTCCACTGACTCAGTCGACACCACCCCTGCTGCTGCCACTCCATCACAGAGTGGGTATCGCTTTCCTCCTGCCACAGGTAAGAACCCTCATCAGGTGTCACGGTCGGGTTTCACCGTGGACAAAGGCCGGTCCAGAGGAGATGAGCCAAGTGGGACCGGACACTTCAGAGACCATCAGACATTAAGAGCCAATCATTTCAGTCACAAAACGACAACGCTACACTTCAGGACAATTACACTGTTGTGTTTTGATGTGTTTTTTTTAAGGGTTTCCCTCAGTGGTTTCCTTTTTTGAGGCAAAAATCAATCTTCAGTTCTCTTACATCGATGACAATATCTACACCTGAGCCACTGCTCTGGAGGAGAGAGTTTTATTCCCATAAAAACAATTAATTTACAATAAAAAAACCCACATTTAGCTAAATGTTGGGAATAAAATTATTTAAAAAACATTATGGAGGAAGAAAAAAATATTAATTGTTGCAAAAGAATCTGGAAGGAGAGCAATTTTATCTGTTGATGTTTGTTTTGATGATTTAAACAACGCTGTGAATTATTTTTGTAATTTCTTTGCATCTTTTCATCTACTGAATGGTGCAAAGAAGACATTCATCCTGGAAACAAACTGTTCTATGATATTTTGTTGCACACTTTGTCATTGACAATGTATGAAAACATCATCCAAATCTTTCATTAAACTTTGGTGCAGAAGAAACAAACCATTATCCATCCGCTCCACTCGGTTGGTCATAAACAGCTTGTTTCTTTACAGTTTTCAACAACAACAACAATAATGTTACAGTCTACAGACCTGGGTCCAACAAACCACCTCCAACTCTGTGGAGCAGGACAGGAGATGACCATTAGCCGGGATTATGTAACCATAAGTGGCAGTTGTGCTGCTGCCTGCAGGCCAC